GTACATACTGTCTGTTCAATTTTCCCTCCCCCCCCCACCTCCTTATCTATTTAAGAAACCAGACGGAGACGAATGCCTTTAATTTTGTATGATGGAAATGCCGAATGAGAAGCAGCTGGCCGCTCGGGAGCCCGGACCGCCCACAGCTCCTGGCCTTGCTCAGTAACTCCTCCAGCACGGAACCGGCTATAAATCTCTATAAATATAGAAGTGCTCTATTTTTGTGTAAACGCAGAATAATGTAAAATTACTTGCCATAAGGTATTTGCCAGGCTCAGTGTTGCCGGGAGGGGGCTGGAAGAGGGTCCTGGGAGATTTTGGGCTCGGGAGCCTCACCTCGTAGGCGAGAGGAAGAACATCCAACAGATGCTTTAGTACTGCGGTGGTCTGTATCCCGGGGAGGGACAGGTGGGGGCGGAGGTGACAGGTTGAGCGTGACAGTCTTTGGGAGTGGGCTGGGGTTGCCTCCTCCCGCTGTTGCTGTTCCGGTCTGAGCAGCCTGGTTTTGCCTGGCAGGCACTGATGCCACGGGGATTTTGGAGAATGACGTGTAATGCCTCCCCTGACCGTCTCTGCGTCCCAGGCCTCAGTCCCTCAGCAGCGTCCTTGCGCCGTGGCTGACACCCCTTCCCACCGCGAGGAGGGGGGCATCTGGTGTGATACCCTGCAGCAGGGACCTAAGGGGTGATGCAGGGGCTGTGGTCATCTAAGCATGGTAGCTTGTGTCCGTAGCAGTCTCACTGTCCGGCTTGGGTGGGGATGGCACCTGGCGTCCCTTCAGCCCCGCTGCAGCTCTGGGGCCATGTGTGTGGTGGGATTTTTGGCTGAGCCCTAGGCTCAATCCCAAGCTCAGAGGTCGGGCTGCAGCAGGCCGATGGTGGCTCTGCCATTCCCCACCTGGAACGGTTTCGCTCTCGGATAGGCGAAGTCAGGTCTGTAGGATGTTGCTGAGGGTGAACCAGCCTCTTTGGAAGGACAGAGGCAGCGGGTGGTGCCAGGTAGCTCCTGAGCAGTCTGTCTGGGACAGGCTGGTGGTGCGCAATGGTCCCTGGGCTCCCAAACGCTTCTCCCTGTGTGGCATGTCTGCAGCTCACCCAGCACACGGGTCCCAGCTGGGTATTGTGAAACTGGATGCCTGGGCCACCCTGCTGCCCCTTTCTGGAGCAGGCCCTTGCCTGGGCTGCATCTGTCCCATGTGTGCAGGTGGAGGACTTGCGTTGCCCACAGCGTCCCCCAGCTGCGGGGCTGCCCGGGGAGGTCGCTTTCCTGCTCGGGGTAAGAATTGGGCTCCCGTAACCCAGCAGCGCCGCAGTAGCAGCAGCCCAGGAGGGCCTGGTGGAGCTGTGCCACCGAGCTGGGGCACCAGGAATCGTGGTGGGATGGGAACCCAGAAAGCTCCTCTGGCCCCTGCTGCTGGGACTGGCTTGCCCCCCGCCAAGCCCGTTGCCCAGTCCTGGAGCAGGTACCCTCAGCCTTGCTCCCACTGGGGCTTTTCTCCTTCCAGAGCATTGCTCTTGCTCTGCATGGTTAAAAGCTTAAATCCTTAGAAACCCCCTGCCCCGTCGCGCTCCAGCCCCAAGGCGGCCAGAAACAGGCTTTGGTTTTTAACCAAGAGGAGAGGAAAGGCAGCGGTGTGCCCAGCGAGGGCCGCTGGGGCAGACTCGTTGCTTCGTGCTCTGCGGCGGGGGCGCGTGGCAGCCCGTGG